GAAAATCAGGACCGAATGATTTTCCAACTCTCGTCCGCTTACTGCGTCTCAGCTCGAGCTTGGGTTCTTTCTCAGATTCCCCACTATCATTATCCATAGTTTCGTCAAACGTTCGTTTTGACGTACTTGGTCCCTCGTTGGACCTACAAGGAAATATATTTTCGAAGAAATATGCATTCCTTGATTCTACTATCGTGTTCTCAAGTACATCCGGATTATGGGACTTGTGTACTAAGAACCGATAAGCACTACTATTATGTGCATAGCCAATAAAGATACAGTCCACCGTCTTAGGACCTACCTTTACTTTCTTAGGTGTTAGCACCAATACTTTGGCAAGACACCCCCACACTTTCAGGTACTGGTAGGAAGGTTTCCTACCTTTCCACAGCTCATAAGGAGTCTTATCGAGCTTTTTGCGGGGTACCTTATTCAAAAGGTAATTACTTGTCAAAATCGCCTCACCCCACGTATCTTGAGGTAGGCCCGAACTTATAAGCATCTCATTCATCATATCTTTCAATGTACGATTGTTTCGTTCGGCAACACCGTTCGATTGAGGTGAGTAAGGTGCCGTACGCTCGTGTATGATACCTACACTTGTACAGAAGTCACCAATAGGCGCTTCGTACTCACCACCTCGATCGCTTCTAACCTTCTTAATTCTCCGATTAAGTTGGTTTTCCACTTCATTCTTATAAACAACGAATTTAGCAACGGCTCATCTTTGCTCTTAAGCAAATACACATAGCAGTATCATGTGCTATCGTCGATAAATGTGATAAAATACTTATTACCACCTCTCGTTTGTATCTATCTGAAATCGCACAAATCACTATGAATTAATTCAAGTGGTTCAGTTTCCCTTTCAACCGATTTGAAAGGTACTTTCGTTAGTTTTGCCTCAACACAAATTTCACACTTGTTATTTGTGTCAATTTTAAAGTTAGGAATATAGTCCATGCTAATTAATCTACGCATAGAATTAAAATTAACATGACCTAGTCTACCATGCCACAAATTGGAAGACTCAAGCAAGTAAACAGAATTAACTTTGCTTTTATTGATAACATGAATTACATTGAGCTTAAAGAGCCCATCAGTTACATATCCTTTACCAACAAACGTCCCTAACTTGGACAAAACTACTTTGTCTGACTCGAACACCATGCGAAAGCCATGCTTGTTCAACAGAGAGCCAGACACAAGATTCTTCCTCAGCTCAGGAACATACAGCACGTTGTTCAACGTCAGTTCCTTCCCGGAAGTCATCTTCAGAACCACCTTGCCCATGCCTTCCACAGCAGACTGAGCAGAGTTTCCCATCCACACTTTTTCACCCTCAACGGTCTCAAAAGTGTTGAACATCTCTCGGTTGCAACACAAGTGCCTGGTTGCACTGGTATCGATGAACCACTCACGAGGGTTTGAGCCCACGAGGTTCACCTCGGTCACCATAACCGAAAGGCTAATCTCGACCTCATTCTGATTGCTATCTCCAACAACATTGGCTTCAGAACTCTTGTTCTTCTTCCTTGGAGCCTTGCATTCAGATGCTCTGTGGCCATGCTTGCCACAATTGTAGCATTCACCAGGAAACTTGTTCTTGGTAATGCCACCTTTCGGACCTAGCTTTCGCTTGTCCTTCTTGTTCCTCTTGGAGCTCTTACCGTGCTCCACAACATTGGCCTTAACGCCAACAACGATAGGAATTTTCCTATCATTCGTCCTGTTCCCTTCCTCGATCCTGAGTCGCTGGATCAAGTCCTCCAGATTCATCTCCTTTGAATCAAACATTTTGAAGTCGAGGAATTGGCCAACCACAAATTTCTTTGAGTCGGCATCCTCACTTCGGTATTTATGATCCAAAGCTTCCCACAACGCTTTTGATGTGCTTATCTTTCGATATACATCATATAGCGTGTCACACAATCCGTTCAGGATGTAGTTTCGGCAAAGGAAGTTCGAATCCTTCCAATAGCCAACTGCCATCACAGATTGTGCATCTTGTTCCTTCAACTCGGGAACACTCTCGGACAAGAACCTTGCCAAGCCGAGAGTTGCTAGGTAGAACAACATCTTTTGTTGCCACCTCTTGAAGTTCGACCCAACACCGGTGAACTTCTCCTGCTTTTCGGCCGAACCACTCTGTACCGAAGGTACCCGAGACATGAGAATATATCCCTCAGTGCTCCCACCATCTTGTGAACCAACGTTCACTGGTGTAGCTTGAGAATTAGCAACATTGTTGCCGTTTCCTCCATTGTTGTTCTCAACAACATTTTCTTCCCCATTGTTAACGATAGGCAACTCGGGGTTCTCCATTTCTTCAAGGAAATTAGAGAAAACAACCAACGGGAAAACAAGGAATAAGGTTTTAAGACTGTAGGAACCGTTGGTAGAAAAACAAATAATAATCAAAAAAATAAGATTATTATTTTCTGGAAAAACAAGGGAAGGAAAGATGGAGAAATTTGGCTAGTGTTTGGTGTTGGGTTTTTGCAAGAGTCAAGTGAGCACTCTTTCCTTAAAACCTTATTTGCCACCTCCCAAAGATGCTAGAAGCGTAGTGGCCTAGGCTTCCCAGGATAAAACTTGCTAGTGATTCAATGTTTGAGCACTCAAACAAGGAATCCGGCGAGCATGACACGGTTATGAACACAGTAGGCTAAAGAAGGAGTAGAAGCAGAGAGGTTTTGAGGTTAAAAGATGAACTTTCGTGTTCTATATTTTCTGTGTGTAAATCTCTACTGCCCAACTCCTCTTTATATAGGGGTGAAGGATTTAATAGCTTTTGTTAGGCACTTAAGGGCACCCCTCCACCTTCCTGTAACAGCAGCCTTAAACCTGGGTTTCAATTCGAAAATTAAAAATTGGAATTAACTCAAAAAATTAATTCCGTAACAGTAGAACTGAACACCCAACGGTCACAAAACTGCACAGGTTCGTGTAGACCGAAACTTCCAGTTTCGACCGCCAGGCCGAAACTAGAAGTTTCTCTAGTTTCGGCCATGGTTCCTTATGACTTACTGCATGTTATTGGTTTCGGCCAGGCCGAACCAAGGTGTAGTTTCGGCGGCGTGTTGGAAAATGACAGTCCGCTAGAAGTTTCTCTAGTTTCGGCCATGGTTCCTTATGACTTACTGCATGTTATTGGTTTCGGCCAGGCCGAACCAAGGTGTAGTTTCGGCGGCGTGTTGGAAAATGACAGTCCGTTTGGCATAACTTAGCCCGCAAGGCCAGCCAACATTCGTGCGCGCAGGTGCCGGCGCACACGAGCTCGGGCTTGAATCAAGCCTTTTCAATCTCGTCTAGTTGGAATTTAATTTTGCACCCCCCCCCCCCCCCCCCCCCCCCCCCCCGCGAGAGAGCCTCTATGCTATACAATTCTACAAGCTTCAAAAGAGCTCTTGTATATAAGGGGGGAAAATCTTCATTCCAAACCAATGTGGGACAAAAGCTCACTTTTTCCCTTCATTTTCCAACTCAAATGGGTCTACTTTGAGAATCAATATCTCATTCACCCATTATCCGTTTTGAGCGTACAATATATCAATCTCTTCGTCTCACTACGAAGAACCGGAATCCACTTTGACCCGACTCAAATCGGAAGTGGACCCCACTGATAATTGTACCACAAAATAGCCACTTAACATGCCATTTTATGTCATTTTAAGCTATTTTTTCCAACAGTCAGGTCTTCCCGTGCGGTCAGTGCGACATACACCATTAGGTATGCATAAATGCACCATACAGTGTTTGAAAATACACCAGAATGAAATGCCAAAAAATACACCACACAAAAAAAAAATACACCACATAATGGTGTATTCTTGAACACTGTGCGGTGCATTTTTGCATACCTAATGGTGTATGCCGCACTGACCGCATGAGAATACCTGACCTCACAGGAACCTGACCCTATATATATATATATATAGACTTGCGTTCAAATGAGGACAAATATATTATAGAGGACTGTGAGGACAGATGTACTGTGTGCCATTAGCCTGAATGTCGTGTGCATGGCCGAATGTAGTCGTGTGCCACATTTTGTATGTCGCGTGCATACATTTGTTAATTAATAGAGCCTGAGTTCGAAACCTGATGTTTACATGTATTCTTGTGTCTCATTATGTATTAAATTGTGTGCCTGATATTAATTTGTGGTGTACCCATTATTTGTCTGCACAATCCTCTATATATTGTGTCATTGGGAGATGTTTGGAAACTTGAAAATAATTTTCATAAAAATGACTAATTTTGTTTTTCTAGTGTTTGCTTGAAATATTTAGATTTTTTTTTTCTATTTCACTGAATTTTTTTTTTAAAAAAAAGGTATTTTTTTCTATCGATTCATTTGAAAAAAAAAAATGAATAAAAATTTATTACAAAGTTACTTAGTTAATTGTAGTAGAATTCCCTTGTTTTTTGTGACAATTCGAATTTAGTCACAGCTTATTATTTTTTTCATTTAAGACACTAGAATATTATATTTTAGACATTTTTTATCCTTTTGATTATTTTTCCAATAAGTTAAATTTAGTGGAGATCCCTTGTCTTTTGTAACAATTTTAAATTTTGGCCATTTCTTTTTATTTTATTTTATTTTATTTTATTTCTGTCTCTTCCGCCCTGGATTGCACCATCTCCTCCACCCAGCTCGTGTCTTCATTTCCTTCAACCTGACCCCAAATCGTCCTTCGTCAATAATAATACCGAATACGTGAAGACCTTCGGGTGTAAAGGAATCATTTTGCAACACATATAGCCAGAAAGCTCAATGTGGTATTGACGGTCAAACGAAGATGTCTCTATGTTACACACAACACATTAAACGAGGAACCACTACATTGAGCTCCGGGCAACCGTGAAACTATATTGTTACACGCACAGGCCTACCAATAACAGAATGACATTTACTAATACGTGTTAGCTAGTGTCTTAGTGATGAACCAAATTGACTATATATATATTCACTGACGATATATATATTTATAGATAGATATTCCCTCTTTCGGATCGCAACACCAAACACACACACATTTCGAACTAGGATGGGAAGTGATATGAGGGTAAATTCCCTGAAATCAGTACTGCTGCTCTGCGTGCTATCATCGTCAACCCATGGAATATCCAGCCAACCCGCCGGAGTTTCAACGAGTAATCCCGCAGTGCTAGACACCGACGGCCACGAGATCCAAACCGGCTCCAAGTATATCATATTAGCTGCCCAGGATTCAAACGGGGGAGGAGGCGGGCTCGCCCTGGCCCCTAAAGACCGCCCATGCCCTTTGTACGTCACCGTAGAAAACCTGGAAGGCTACAATAATGGCCTCCCCGTCAAATTCATGCCATCAGCTGAGCCCAGACAGCAGGCCATAATAACCCAGTCAACAGACGTGAACGTCGCGTTCTACACGGCCACGATCTGCGTGCAGTCCACCGCGTGGAAACTCGGAAGCGTTGACGAAACCACGGGGCGGAGATACGTGGTGAGCGGCGGGGCGACGGGGCGGCCGGGCGCCGAGACGGTGAGCAGCTGGTTCAGAGTGGAGAAGCAAGGGGGGAGCGGTTACAGGTTGGTGTTCTGTCCTGGGGTTTGTAGCGCGTGCAGAGTTGCGTGTGGGAACGTGGGGGTTTTCAATGAAAATGGGAAGAGATGGCTTGGCTTAACCGATGAACCGCTTGTTGTAAGGTTCAAAAAGGTTTAGATAGGGTAACCCAAGATGGTAAGAGATCTACACTTGTATGGTTCAAAAAGTTTACGAGTTTGAATTTTTGTTTCCTTAGTTTGAACTGATGGTAATCTATGCTAGTTTACTTTTTTTTTTTTTTATGATTCTTTGTTAGTTAGACTTACAAGGCTGAATTTACCTACAACCCAAAGGATTGTGGGTTCCCTAGTCATCCAGAAAAAGGTTTAGATAGGGATAACCAAAGTCAAAATGGTAAGAGATCCACACTTATACTCATAAGTTTACGAGTTTAAATCCTTGTTCCTTGGTTTGAACAGGTTAGTTATGGGTAATCTTTTGTCGACTTGAATCACAAGATGAGTTTACTTAATAAGATTGTGAGTTTTTCTCTTCATAAAAAAAGGTTTAGATAGATTGAACATACTGGCAAAATGATTGAATTGTGGCTGTAATTTGCTATCTCCTCTGATTTTGCTCTCCTCTTTACTGCTATCTAGTAGTACCTGTTTTCCTTCTTTCATGCATCTATCTGCAGTGCTGTACCACGTGGAAACTGGATTCCCTTATTTGATTTGGCTATTAAAATTACAAAGAGTTTATTGTTTGATTTTGGTCCCTATATATAGTTTGATGGTTGTATTCTTAGAACATCCTCATTTGTTAGGTTTTTAGCACAAATTTTAACTGCCATCTAGGAGGGAAGAAAGGAGATAAAAACTGAACCCATTGAGTCACCTTGATTTACATCCTCTCAAATATTTTGTTGGGTCAGAGTGTGGAGGGCCTTAGGGTTGGGGATTCAGCATTTTGGAAGAAGAAAAGAGATAAAAATAAATAAAAATAAAAAGTGCTGTCAGAAAGAAGAAAAAAAAAAGCATCTCTTTAAGGCATTCACTGGGCGCATCTGTGCACTTCACGCGAATAAGACAATGATTTTTTATTATTTTTTTTTGTAGGGCCCACTGTACTCAAGATACTTCCGTAAATTAAAGATGCTTTGGCTATTTTGTAATGAACTGAAATAAAATCACATTGGCAAGAAATACTTAAAATTTTGACAAACAGATTATACCAATTGTGATGGGAAAATCTAAATATACTCTAGGAAAAAAAAATGGTTAGATACAAAGTCTCACTGAAAACTAATTTCTTAGATAGAGTATCAATTTAAGGAGACTAGTGGCACAAGATGTTCTTAAGTCATGGCCATAAAACTAATATGCCTCCCGGATTCATATATACTTAATGTATAACTGTTTGGGAGTATCAACCTAAAACTGTAGGGTATACACCAGAAAACTGTATGGTTCACCTATGATTAAAGCTTAAGTGGTAAACTAAATTAACGGACTAAACGTGCTTAAATTCAGGCACTACCGCAACTAAAGTTTATGCATAAGTCCAACTTAATAGGAACTAATATAAATTTTTTGGTGGGGCCCACTGTGCACTTCACGCGAATAAGACAAGGAGACAAAAACCTCGGTGCTATGTACTCCCATTTTCCGCTCTCTACTTCTCTCTACTTGTACTCCCTTGCACAAAGAGTCTACAATGCCTCCACTGAGGTTCGATCTCATGATCTCCCATATGTGAGAGTCATTACATGTCATTTGAGCACAATGTATATGGCCTTGCCATTAAGATTTAATTACATGTAAAAGCGAATATAAAACAATAAAAAACAATAAAAGAATGTTTTTTTTTTCCAAATAATGAGGGAAACTTATAGTCATTGTATACTTGAGAATGTATTATTGTGTAATAGTGTAAATTACATATGAGAGATAAATTTCGCTAAGAATAATGAAATAAGGATTTTGAATAGTTGACGTTGAGGACAACACCATCATTTTAATATAAGATCCCACAATTAAGGCATAGAAAATAGAAATTGACCAAGAGTAGTCAGCACCTTAATTACATGATTGTTCAAACTGCTGATAGTTGTGTCATGCAAGGTCTCACTGCTTAGAAGGATAATTATAGTTGGAAATGTTTGCTGAATGTTGAAGGATATTAATGACGATTGGATTTGAATTTTGTACTTGTTGGTTTTACAACCTTTGATTAGTCGTCGGTTAGCCAACATGAATGCAAAAAAAAAAAAGAACTTAAAGCAAGGTAATTCAGAAAAAATTGCCTTAAGCTCTTGAAAATTTTGGACACTTTACATGCTTTTTGAGGAGGTATTTATACATGAATGCTCGGCCTAAAATAGAAAATAAAATCCTTTGTAAATCTGGACTGAGAATCCCCTAAAACTTGCCCAAATTGCCTTTCTGAAATACAAGATCGAGTTACCAAAATACATTAGGAAAGTAGCGTAGATTAGGAAATAGATTGCCTAAATCTTTAAGTAACTTGACCTCTACCTCAAGATTATGGTAGGCAGCAAGCATCATCCTCGGAGTGTTCCTTAAAAGCTCACACCAGGCTTTGTCTCCCACCGAAATATCAAGAGCCCACACCGGAAACTTTATTGGGTTTCAAAATTTATGGGAACCCATCACAGCAGAGCGACAAAGCTCAAGCCTTTGGCGATGAAAACTGCAAGTTCACGACGATAGCTACCCAATTGGAACGTTAATCAAAGGAACTACAAGAGCGTGTTCTTCTCCTGGAAATAAGCAGCGAGCACGGCAGTGTCGTGAAATGGGCGTGTAACACCCGCCTTTTTCTAAAATCTAAAACCCGATAATAAACAAACTTAATAAAGATAAATCGAGGAATAACTTAGGTAACTAATTAACCATCCAAACGATAAACTAAGGGAATATCACTGCCACAGTCACCACTCACTGTAACTGCACAGGCTACAAAAGCAACTACAAACGGTAAAATAGGGGACACAACCCTGGTGTCTACGCACCATCAAAAAGGTAGTTTACTACAACCAGTTAAAAGTACTGCAAAAGAAAAAGGTATCGTTCTAGTAACTACCACAACTAAGTTACGCACTAAACTATCATTGTACGCTCTCAAGAACTGGGTCCACCTAAAAGGGGTTATAAAACAAGTAGGAAAATAAACCCGTTAGCAAATAATACTAAGTATAAAGCCACTCAACCCTGTAAAGTACTATAGATATAGATTGGAAAACGTTTTGCATTCACACATTGTGACACCCCAAAATCCAAATTCGATTAAGGGATTAATTAAGTAATTAATCCTATTTCAATTTGTAATTTAATTCCTTAAATTCCTGAAATTTATTAGTTGGGGACTAGTAATTGACTAGTCAACCCCAAAGTCAAAGTTGTACCTTGAGCTTTGTAAGGAGTTCCCTTGTTCCTTACACTTCCTTATGTTAGTAAGGGTATTCTTGACCTTTCACTTGGTGTTAGTATTGTAACCTAACCAAGTAGACCACCTTCATTCTCTCCTTACACTTTCTAAAAATCTAGCTCCACCTTCTCTCTAAAAAGGTGAGTAGCTTTTCTTCCAAGCCAACTTGGAGCCTTGCCAAAACTTCAAGAGTTGCTTCCAAGATTCAACCTTTCATATATTTGGGCATCTAGGAGGGTAAGATCTAAGTTCATCTTGTGTTTTGGTTTTATCTAAGGTGTCTTTTCTTAAAGATAAGATCTTTATGATCTTTTGGTATGTTCTTGAAGTGGGTTTGGAAGGTGAGCTTTGTGAGGAGCTTATTGTGGTGTAAAGTGAAGTCTTTAGTCTACAAGAGGTAACCCATGCTCTACAAAACCTATTTTGCTTACCTATATGTGATTTCTTGGATTCTACATGTGTTTTGCTATGAAATGTGAGTGTTTATGCATTGTCTTGTGAAAATGCATATCTAGAGCTTGTGTTTAGGGTTCTTGTATGCCATTGCTTGGCTATTCCTTTGATTCAAGTCATTTTGTTGTATTTGGTGAGATTTGGCATGTTTTGGACTTGAATTTGAGTTTGGAGATGAAAATCCGCGAAGGGATTTATTGTGGTACAAGGGTGTACCCGCGGGCAGAACGGCGGGTAGGGGTCCAACTCGTCGCCCACCCGCGGGGTACACACGTTGGGCAGCCTGTACCCGCGGGTAGAGGCCTACCCGTGGGCTTACCCGCGGGTACGTGTTGTGATGGTGGCGGGGATTTGTTCCCCGTGATTCTTTTGACTCGGTATTCGATCTTTGGACTTCCCGATGTTCTTTTATGGAACTATTTGAGTGTCTTCTTGATGTTTCGTATGTCTAGAACTATATGGTAGGATTCCATGTAGGTATTGGTGTCGTGAATCGTGCTAAGTGTTCAACTTTGTGTTTCGTTGAACCGTGATGAGTCTTGTGTGTTCTCCGGAACTATCTTTGGTTTACCCGTTTGATAAGAATGCTAGTTTGGTGTTTAAATGCTAGCATGTGTGTGCTGTTTGTACCTTCTTATTGGTTGATGATAACTTGTGTTATTCATCGTTGTGTTGTTGAACTGTGATCCATTCCTTGATTGAGTATGGTTTCATATCTTCGTTGTCATCCGTTGATTGATTCCTGTTGTGGTGTGATGTGTGTGTGTGGCTTTACCTGGATTGCACGATTAGTGGTATGTGACACTAGTCACCAAGGTATTGCAGCAGTCCTCGTGGTGGCCGTGACGTGATTATGGAGTTGTGACCTTTGTTTAAGGTTCACGTGATTCTTGGGTGGCATGTGTTGCCGTGTGTGTGACCGGTACCCTCGTGTACTATGAAATCGGTGGTTCTGTTGGAGATCTGTTGGAGAGGGGACGACGGTCCTCGGAGGGAAAAGGTTGGACTTGGTGTATAGGGGTCCTGGAGGTAAAGTTGGAACTAGACATAAGGTTGGGGGTAGCCATAAGGTTGGAACCGGGCATAAGGAAGGCATATCAACTCGTGATGGGTGATGTCACGAGGGCTTGTGTAGCCGTTGTTGTGAGTTCTCTTCTTGTGACGTGTGTAGTCACAAGGGCATGTGTTGCCTAGGCATGTGTTGCCATCGATCTTGTCTTTATCATTTGTGTTGTGGTTATCCTTTGTGGTTTTGGGATGTGTTCCTGTATTCTTGTTGAGAGTGTTGAGTCTGGTGTTGACTATTACTCTTGGTTTGTACTTATATATATGTATTTCGTTTCGAAAA